TGGCCTGAAATATATATGTGTTACGTGTGTGTGGCCTTAAATATATACGGTGTTACATGTGTGTGGCCTTAAATATATACGGTGTTACATGTGTGTGGCCTGAAATATATATGTGTTACATGTGTGTGGCCTTAAATATATATATATGTTACATGTGTGTGGCCTTCACTCTCATGTTGCAACTGTTCAAACACAACTTTTGAAGACATTTTGAAGTTATATGAAACTACTTTTTGTTCTCGTTGGTACTGTACGTTGAGACAGAACAACTCAGCGCTCAACGCTCTAAAGACAGTTGAGGTGGTTGTGGATTTCAGGAAGAACGCAGCCTGTGCAGTCCCTCTGCTTCCGGGGCTCCATAATCGCCCAGGAAATAAGAAAACGTCAACTTAAAATGCGTTATTTTAATAATGGGCAGTGCGTTTCAATATCACCACGCCAAACATTTTCCCCTATTTTGTCATGCGTTTGTTTTTTCCCCATTTATTTGGAAGGTGGAGAACCCCTGGTTTATAATGTCTGTAGAGAGGACAGAGTCAGTGTGGAACAGTTGTGTAGTCGTGGAGCCTTGGACATAAATTGAGTCCCCGGACATTTTGTCTCCCGTCTTTGACCGTCTTTGACCGTGGACAATATGTTTGCCCTTTTGAGCTGTTACCATTTCTCTCTCTAACGGACTGATTCAGCTTCGATGTCACAAGGACCGACACAGGACATTGTTTCCTGCCCAAAGCAATAACCCTCTAACACTCCAGTTTCTGTCTCAACCATACTCTACTCTTATTGCCCCTTCAATAACCTTACACATGATTACATGCGCATGTATTGCAAAATTAGCACATATTTATACTCAGTCGGCCTCATTGCATTAAAAAAAACTAAACCGCAACGAATTTGCACACTATAACCAGTATGTTATGTTTATATTTTAGTTGAAATAGTTTGGTATATCTATAGTGTATTGTAATATATTATGCATTCTATAGATATACATCTCTCTTCCAGTGTAGATATGTTTAATTATTTACTGAGTATTTACTGTTGTGTATTGCTTAAATAAGCTGCTGCTGTAACACAATCATTTCCCCATTAGGGCTCAATAAAGTCCATCCGTCCATTACAATCTTGTAGGTTCCAGTAGATGTAATGCAGCACACTACAGGATTTAGTACGAAGCGTAGCTAGAGCACAGTGAGTTACAATTAACAAGAAATGAGGAGTAGATCATTACTTATATAACCAACAGTGATCAAATATTTAAAAATCCTTGAACATTATTTTGACAAATAGACTAGTCCCTGCTTCTTATGGTGTTCTGATACGAGACAAGCCGAGCCTTGCTTTATAACGAGTCACACCAAAACAATCAGGTCCTGTATGGGATCACGCACTTCAGGGGTGTCTCTGTGTGCGAGTGTGCTTGTGTGTGTGTGCGTGTGTATTTACCTCTACAGCCACCGTCCACAGTATGAGCTGCGTGTCCGAGTCGAGGAAGTAAGCCTTGACTTGTGGAGACATGCCTATCAGCGAGCAGTTGGTCACGACAGCGATCACGCTCATGGCCTCGAAGGCGAGCTGGACACAGACAGAGAGACGGCAGCAGTCAGCGGCTTAGTCCCACAAATGGAAAACCATTTTATTTGTTTTGCCAGCTGGGCCACAGTGCCGAGTGCCGACTACGTGATATCTTGTTCTTAATCAACTCTTGGCGGTGTTCGGAATAGAAACAATATTTTATCCCCGGGGGGGGGGGGGGGGAGTAATATTCTCACGGACAGTGTTTCAAATAAAGAACATCATGTTATGTGTTTTCAGTTCCTAAAAATAATATCAACTGCCTCCTTTTGTGTCGAGAAAAATCAGATAAATGCTTAAAAGCTGCGCAAGTGATCTGACATGATTGTTCACGAACGAGCCGGCGGTCCGTGCGGCTCACCTGCCAGACTCCTATGTTCGCTGCCGGGTCCGAGAAGGGTCGTTTGAACACACGACACATCTTGAAGGCGTCAGAGTAAACCTCTGTGATGTTGTTCAACACCACCAGGACGGCAGCCAGAGGGTAGACGCAGGAGAACAGACTGACGTAGCCAAACAGCAGGAAGAGCTCCAGGTAATCATCGAAGGTTCCCTAGAAGAGAGGGAGGCACAGACTGACATATTGACCAACACGTACACACATTAATGGACTCGGAGGGACGCGTGAGAAAAAAATCATGTAAAGGCTTTCATAGTCCGCTTGCACCTACTAAGTAGGTGCTCATGTCGGCCTCCAGCCGGACTTGATCGGCCAGAGGAAGCTCTTTGTCCTCCAGGGTTTTTCTCTTCTGGACTTTGCGGATCATCTTCTTGTTGCGTCTCCTCTGGAGCCAGTAGGGCAGGAAGGCCTCCATGAACTGATTCAAGATCTGACTGGTGATCAACAACGTGGCCAGACTCTGGATACAGATGGAAACATGAAAACCAGGTGGGGTGAGGAGAGGCAGGGATATGTAAGGGAAGGTGGATGGAATAGGAAAGTAAATAAAAGTGGGAAAACAGGGAGAAAAGAAAACTGCAAAGAAAGTGAAATTAGGAGGGAAAGAGGGAGAAAGGGAAGATAAATTGAAGGTGAGAAGCCAAAAAATGTTGGAGGAAAGAAACAAAGAAAAGGCAAGAGGGAAGAAAGAACACAGGTAGGAAAGACGTAAGAAGGGAAATATTAAAGGAACCAAGGAAGGAAGAGAGGAAACAGAAGTAAATTTAGACAAAAACAAAACACGGGCACAAAGAAGGAAGATAATAATACAAAAAGAGGAAGAAACCTTAAAGGAATAAAGGAAGGACCTACCTGTCTGAGCAGCACCATGTCCTGCATGAGAAAGGCGATGTAGAACAGCGAGGCGAAACAGTTGAAGAAGTTGAACTGCGGGGAAAAGAGACGAGACGGTGTTAGCTGCACTCTGACGGATGAAATTGGCGACGTCATGTGTTAAAAATGTGATTATTAATACTCACTACTAATACTTTAAGGACCAAGTGATTCTGATATGAAGACTCCAGCCTGTGGTTTTCTAAAGACACAGAGGAGGAAAACACAAATGTTAGCATGTCAGTGACAACAATAAAGTCCATTTCACCCACAGCACATTTCCTCGCTCGTCCTATGGAAATATATAGAAACACATCACGGGCAATCCAATCTGCATTTTAGTTCATGTCGCCCGCCAACCAAAAGGAAACAGGAAATTATCAAAATGTTTCCTTCTTAATGTGTTCCGATAATGTTGTTTGTGTCCAATAACTGAAATATAGGAGAACTTTTTCTGCCGTCTCCAAGCCCAAGCGCAGAAAACCCTGGGGCAGGGGCGTTTCTAGGATTCAAAGAAAGGGGGGGGGCTTAGCCCCAAGGGGAGTGGCATGTTTGCGCGCGGCAATTTTTTTTGGATATCCATTGTTTCAGACAGTTCATAGATTGGTTCAATCAGAAAGAGTGTGATTTTGCTCTGTAGTTTTGCTTGCATTCAGTATATGATAACACAAGAGACAGAATTTCAGGGTCATAGTGAAATTTGACAACACAAATATGAACTTTTCTCAAATAAAGAGGGAAATAATTTTCCTGCTTGTAAAGGAAAGACGGATAAACTAGCTTTCATGTCCGCATTACTCCTAAATCCTAATTCTTAAAGGGACCGCACACAATGGATAGAGAATGGACCTGACAGTGTCAACTGTATATCGTTAAGTATGATGATAGGCTGTTGGATTGTAATTTGAAGGGGGAGAAAACATACAAACCAGAAAGCACGCACATATGTAGCATGTTAGAGTTATAAATAACTTGTCCATGTGAGAAACAATAGTTTAATTTAATGACATCACCAAAAAAAAAAAAAACTTTTTTTTTTTTAATCCAATAATGCCAAATTATTTGGGGGGGCTGAAGAACATTTTAGGGGGGCTTCAGGCCTAACGGCGCCCCTGCCCTGGGGGTCTTTTTCTCAGCATGAACAGTTCTCCCTGTGTCTGTTACCGTCCTAACATTTACAACCAAACTAACTAAACTACCCCGAGAGACAACCAGACAGGTATATGTCAATCCAGCCCATTCTGTGCATCCTCACCCCTACCTGAATTGTACCATCTTTAAAGATTTTCTAAACACTTTAAACTGTCCCTTTAGTGTCACAGATGTGTAGGGGCGAGTAATAGAAATAAATACTTTTGTAAAGTTTGACTTAAAGGGGCAATGTGAAGGATTAAGTAGCTTCTAGCGGTGAGGTTGTAGTTTGCAACCAACGGAAACTTCTCCCGTGAGCCAAGCGTGTACGGTTTCAGACGCGAAAATGTCTCTCTTATATCTACTGTTAACTTTAGTTAAATAAACTCTTTCTGCGTGTGGATTTTGTGCATTCAAAACAATCAGGACTACTCACCCCACTCAGTGAGGAACTCGGCAGCATATCTGTAGATGAGGTTCATAATCTCTATGACCACAGCGTAGATAATACTGGGGATGAAACACAGTATTCCTGTCCAGAACGTGGGCTCCGCGTCATGGAGTGACAGCACCCATCCCTCCATCAGGAAGTAGATCATCATGATGTAGAGGGACAAGTAGAGGCAGAGCAGGACGAAGGGCAGGGACACGAGGTAGATGCGCAGCTGCCTCTTGGTGTTGGGGTAGAGCGGCTCCTCGCGGCCGGTCACAGGGTTGAACCCGAGGACGCCGTGGAAGCCGGGCCGAGGTTCCTCGAAGGCTTTCTTCCTGCTCAGCGTGCCCCAGCGGTAGGCTAGCGAGGCGCTTCCACGCTTCCACAACTGGTTGGG